GGTTTCTGGACCGTAATAAAGATTGATGATGATGATAAAAGACAAGGTAATCTACACAAAGGAATGCGGGTGGCGCTGTGGTCTAAACCACAGAGCCTAGGGCTTGCCGATCAGAAGGTCGGCGGTTCAAATCCCCGCGACGGGGTGAGCTCCCGTTGTTCAGTCCCAGCTCCTGCCCACCTAGCAGTTCGAAAGTACGTCAAAGTGCAAGTAGATAAATAGGTACCGCTCCAGCGGGAAGGTAAACAGTGTTTTCATGCACTGCTCTGGTTCATCAGAAGCGGCTTAGTCATGCTGGCCACATGACCCGGAAGCTGTCTGCGGACAAACACCGGCTCCCTCGGCCTATAGAACGAGATGAGCGCCACAACCCCAGAGTCATCCGCGACTGGACCTAACGGTCAGGGGTACCTTTACCTTTACCTAACCTACACAAAGAATAATAAAAAGAAAGGGAAAGAGATAGACGAATACAAGATCTTCTCTCAGAAACGTATCTTAACTTTTTTTCCCAGATGGAAAAAGATGTGTGTCCCCAGCTCTCACCTGGGAGCATCCCTACCTTCTCCCAGCCTCTCACACTGAGAGATCTCTCCTTCCCTGTCTTTCACACAGGGTCCTTCAGACTGTTCATCAAGTGGATCTACTCAGGACACATTTAGGTGTGCCCTGTAGCTGATCATGGGTGGGAAGCAATGGTTGCTGCTTTCGTGCCAGAGCCAAGCAAGCTCACTGCCACTTTCCTTGGATGCAGAAAAGGACCGCTTCCTCCTTCCCCTAAAAAGGGCTGTCTCTGCCCATAACTGCTGCCTTGCATTTGAAGCAGCTGATGGGTGAGTGAGAGAGTGAGAGTTCTCAACAAGGAGGGAATGATCTCCCCCTTTAAACTTGCCTCCTGGCAGCAGCAGCAGCAGCAGAAGAAGAGTTTGGATTTGATATCCTGCCTTTCACTCCCTTTAAGGAGTCTCAAAGCGGCTAACATTCTCCTTTCCCTTCCTCCCCCACAACAAACACTCTGTGAGGTGAGTGGGGCTGAGACACTTCAGAGAAGTGTGACTGGCCCAAGGTCACCCAGCAGCTGCATGTGGAGGAGCGGAGACGCGAACCCGGTTCCCCAGATTACGAAACTACCACTCTTAACCACTACACCACACTGGCTCAGCAGATCATTCCAAGGCTCCAGCAGTCCCCCTCCCTCTCCAAACACCTGCCTGTCTCCCCTAAGCCATCTGGGAGACCTCCTCCCTGCCCCACCCCCAAATTTGGGGATGTAGCTTAGGGGTATGAAATCCAGCTGTCCGACAGCCAGGGAACCTCTGTGCTGCCTCCACAACCCAGCAGGGAGTTTGGAGAACTATCAATTCACTTATGCAAAGCAGACAGCCACATCAGTGAAGGAGAAAGCTGAAGGATGGGAGGGTGACAGTGTGGCCAACCCTGAAAAAGAGGAAATGCGGAAATGCGTCACTCAAAAAAAAAGCCAAGACGGGAAAAGGGCACCAATTTGCATACAATTTGCATGTGCTTGCTAATCTAAATGTGAAATGTGCTAATCTAGATGTAAATTACATTTAAACAGAAATACACTAGGGACTGCCACAGTGGGGAGCAAGACCCCCTTTCCTGCTCTCCCTGTATAGGCTTATTTCTCCTTAAGCAGAGGACACCCTCACCTAGATGGCTTCCCTGTGAGATCCCTTCTAACAGAGGACTGGATCTGAGCACTGCAGTCCTCTTCCCTCCTGTCATTACTAGCAACTGTTATCCAGAGGCACATAGCCGTTGTTAGGGTTGCCATATGCCCTCTTTTTCTAGGACATGTCCTCTTTTTCATGATGAGAGTCGTCTTAGAGATCCATAGTTAAAAGTAGATGTCGGCAAATGTGTCCTCTTTTTTTTTTTAGCTCTTCAAAATATAGCAACCCTACCGTTGATAGCCTTCTTCATGAATGAGTCTAGTTTGGGCCAGTCACTGCATCTTCTTGTTTTGAATTTTGGAACTTAGCTATGTGCTGTGCAAAGAAGTTCCTTCTTCTGTCTGCTCTGAGTTGCCCAATACTCAACGGATGACTCCTTCATTCATTGATTTCCTGCCTGTTACCATAAGGTGCCAGGGTAGATTACAGCATTGAAAGCAATTTAAAACCATTTCCAATCAAGGTGGGTCCTAAAAACATACACCCACATCTTCTGGTCTTTTGAGACATGGAGAAAACTTTTCTCTTTTGGGGTTTTAGCTCAACTCGTGCATAATTTCCCCCACTTCCTTCGCTTTCCTCTTAGCAATCATTAATCTAAATTAAAAGCCCCAAACACTGAAGTCTTTCCTTTCCTTTCATTCTAACCCCTTGATCATTTTAAACATGATTTTAATTTATCGAAAATGTGCTTAGATTGCTTAAAAATGTTTTCTATTGCTTTAAATATATATTTTTATTTTTAATTGTTTTGTTTTATCACTTTGGGGTTTGCCTCCCTGGGCTCCTTTTGGAGGAAGTGCAGAATAGAGATTTAATTGATGATAATAATAATAATAACAGTTTCGGTTGCCTATTTCCGAACCAGCTCTACAACGTTCTTTTCGATGTGTGCAGCAGCCAGAACTGCGCACAGCATTACAAGTGCGGTTCCACCGCGGCATTATGTTTTCGGAGGTTTTATTTTTGGTGCACGCTTTTTCTTCAGAGAAGGGGTTCCTGCATTGCAGGGGGTTGAACTAAATGACTCTGGGGAGCCCCTCCTAGCTCTTTGATTCTACGTGCTTTGCAAAGTTCATAGATGTGCAGCTTTCAAAGGGTAGCTGGGTGCGTTTTGTTTGCTCAGCAAATTGCCCTTCTTGAAAAGATAGCTCCTGAACTTAAAAGTATCCAAAGGGCAGAGCTCAAATGACCATGTATAAAAAAATAAATGGCATGGTTTTATTTCTTATACAAATATTAAGGCACCTGGTCACTCAGTGCCTCCAGTACATGCAAATGTCTGGCTCATTTAAGCCTATCTAGAACCTTTATTCTCCACTCACTGTATAAATCTTTTATTTATGGGTAGGCAAACTAAGGCCCGGGGGCTGGATCTGGCCCAGTCGCCTTCTAAATCCGGCCCGCGGATGGTCCTGGAATCAGCGTGTTTTTACATGAGTAGAATGTGTCCTTTTATTTAAAATGCATCTCTGGGTTATTTGTGGGGCATAGGAATTCATTCATTATTATTTTTTCAAAATATAGTCCGGCCCTCCACAAGGTCTGAGGGACAGTGGAAAAAGTTTGCTGATCCCTGCTTTTATTATTTTGTAAAGGGAATCTTTGTATGAGTTAATACTTTATTATCCTTTTGGAACCACACTGTATCTTTGCACATTTGTCCTTCCAGGTTGTGGCGTTTTATGGTTTACGTTTTGGAGTTTTCGTTTCCTTTTGCCATGCTTGCACTTTTGCTGTTGTTAGCAAATAAATAAACAACAATAATAGTAAAATAAAAAGCTTGCTCAGCTCGAGGGGATTGGTACTTTCATTGCTGGGGGTCGCCTTCTCTGCTCTGTCCCTCCTTAAACTACCTGCCAGCCTTCTCTACCTTCCATTAGGCTTTCATAACCAGTCTGTTTTCAATGCTGCAGCGACCTGAAACTCGACAACGTGATGCTGGATTCTGAGGGGCATATCAAGATTGCTGATTTTGGCATGTGCAAAGAGAATATCTGGGATGGCGTCACCACCAAGACCTTCTGTGGCACTCCAGACTACATTGCGCCCGAGGTGAGTAACAGAGAGAGAGAGAGAGAGAGAGAGAGAGAGAGAGACAGACCCAGGTCCCCTTGCTTACATCCATTGAACTTGTTTTAAATTTTAAGGGTGCACACACATAGCGGACACACACTCCACAGAAAGCCAATCCTCCACCTTTCAAAACTTAGGAAATATTCCCTGAGAAAAATACACTTAGCGCACAGAACATCCCAAAAGCCATCTTGGAGAAACCTTTCCCAATAGTTCTTTTCACTTACGCTTCAAATCTGACCGAAAGAGCACATTTTGTATATGAATAGGGGAGATCTGTGACGATGGTTTCAATACTTGGGGTATTTACAATTTCAAAAAGAATGATCCAGACCGGCCAAGGTGGGGCGATTGCATGGGCATAGCCGGGGGGCGGGAGCAGGGGGGCAGCTGCCCCCCCCCGATCAAGTAAAATAATAGAAATACTTAACTGATCGATCATGTCGGTTCTGCCCCCCACAACAAAAGGCCTGCCCCTCCCCACAAGAATCCTGGCTATGCCCATGGGCAAACATTATCAGGTATCTTGACAAGCAGGAGACAGGTCACACTCTCAAATTTCTGTTGTAGACTGCCTCTTTCTGTGATGTGAGTGTGATGCTTTTGGGTGGTCTTTGGCTAAGGGGTTGGGCAATTTCTAAAGTCTTTAAAAGGATACAGGGGTCTCTGTTGCAACATGAAAATAAATATCTTCCTTGCTTTCCTTCTACTGGTTCGTGCCTCTGTCCATTCTTCTCTGACCGATCATGGACTTAGGGGACTCAGAGTCCCTTGGGGAGTTGGGCTGCAGAAGCCAACCCCTAATATTTCTACTACAATCTCAGTGGGTCTACTCTTGAGTATGACATGTGTTGGATATCACCCTTAGTATTAATAATACGATTCTGTAACTTTCAGTTTTTTTAATATATAGTTTAGGCAAATGCTGTTTGTTTTAAAGGCTTGGGCTTGAAGAAATCTTAATCAATGCATCAGTTAAATTTCCATAAGTGCTCTGAAGGAAAGGAGCAGGCTTGCTTTATTTTTAGCACCTTAACAAGCCGTTACCAAGGGAATAAAGACAATTGATCCTCTGCAACAATTTAGTGGATGCTTAAATTGTTAGAAGTTACAGCCCATGGTCTCCTTATCAAAGCATGTGTGCTTGATGAACAACAAAGTTCATTTTTAAATGAGTTAGAAGCGCCAAGATTTTGGCTGCAGAATCACAAGTTGCTCTGTGTAACTGGGGCTGTGGCTCAGGGGCAGAGCACATGCTTTGCATGCAGAAGGTCACAGGTTCAATCCCAGGTGTCTCCAGGTAGTGCTGGGAAAAGACTCCCACCTGAAACCCTAGAGGGCCACTGCCAGTCAGTGTAGACAGCACTGTTCTGGATGGACTGTTGGCCTGACTCTGGCCTGCACTATATTGTCTACACGGGCTGGCAACTCTCCAGCAATTCAGGCAGGGAATCTTTCCCAGCCCCACCTGAAGATGCTAGAGATTTGTCAAGGGGCTGACAGGACGATCAGGTCATTCACAGGTCAGAGAGGGAGACGTGAGGCTAACATGCAGTTCAGCTTCTTTATTAAGAAAAGGGAAAAAATACAAGAAATCTCATAAGGGTAACACACACACACCCCCATTAAGAACTTGCTCGAATTGGTGTGCAGCCTCTCCTTCTCTCTCTACCCCTCTGAGTCAGGGCTCCTCTCTTGTAATCTTCTGCTGCAGCAAACCCCAGGAGCCTCTCTCTGTGCCTGTCTGGCCCGTTGCTCAGCAACATGTAACATCCTTTGCGTTCTGGGAGTCAATGGGGCCAGAGAGCCTTCAGCTGAGAGGCTGTTCTATTGGTGCTATGGGAAAGATGCAGGGTCTAGCTCCCCTCTGCCATCTCTGCTGGAGCCTGCATCCAAACTGGAAACCTCATCACCTTGCTCTGTGTTGAGTCACCTGCCTGCTTCTGTCTCCCCGTGATCCCTCATGCTTCCTGCTTCTAGTACCTCCCAGCTTGTCCCCTCCTCTGAGGTGTGGCCGGTATCCCACCACCAGGATCTGGGATCTAAATCTTCTTCTCCTGTGCCCTCTCTGGGGGGTTCTTGGCAGGCAGCTCCCAGCACTCTTCCTCATCCAGCCAGTCCCTGGCAAAATTGAACCTGGGACCTTCTACATGCAGAGCAGGTGCCCCATCCCCTGAGCTATGGAAGAGAGCTGTGATTCCTGCACTGCAGGCGGTTGTACCAGATGATGCTTTGGGTTGCTTCCAATTCTACAGTTCTGTGATGGGAAGACAAAGGAAGCTGCCTGATGCTGCTCTGTACCGGATCTCTCCTATTTGTCATTGGGTCTCTGTTTTAGGAAGCTGCCTCATACCCAGTCAGACCATGAGTCCAGCTTGCTCAATATTGTCTACATGGACTGGAAGCAGCTCTTCATGGTTTCAGACCAGGGACTTTCCCTGCCGTACCTGGAGGTGTTTGAACCTGGGACCTTCTACATGAGAGCCCAAAGTCCACCACTGATGAATTTATGGAACGAAAGTGGCAGGGCTCAAAAAGATTTGGGAGTCATGGCTCTAAAGATATGGAGTGCTGCGGCATGTTATATTGATATCTGTGGCTGGTAGCATATCAGGACATCACTCCTCTCTTCCTGTCTCTCTGAGGAGTGCCTGTGAATGCTAAACCACTTTGTGTGTTCCTCCTTCCCAGGGAGACGTTTAATTACTAGGCTAATGTGCGTTATTTTCCCCTTGTTCTGCCAAGATTAATATGGGAGCCTGGCCAGCATGTGGCTGGATCTCTGCACATGATTAATGCGCTTTCAGAGTAGAACAAACCATCATTCACTCCCCCTCCCCCCCGCCTTTGGTCGGCAACTGGGCATCATCTCCAAAGTGCTTGTTTTCTTGGCTTTTAATTCATTGTTTTTACTTTGGAACGAACAGAGAACAAAACCACAGACAGCAGTGTTTGTGAAAGTAGATGCGAAATTGGTATATAAGCCACCTGGAGCAATGTGCAAAAGGGACCTAGGAATATTTAAAGGAACTAACTAAATTACAAACTTTGGCCTAGCTTCTGGAATAATGCCATACTTACGCTCTCTCCAGTCCAGTGCTGTGAGGCTCAAGCAGAACGCTCTTGATGGGCGCGGACTCTGATCTCCCAAACCATTGCAGACAAACATCAAGTTCAAAAGGACACTTAGCTGTGATCCCTGCCTTGCAGAGGGTTGGGCTAGAGCAGCCTTTGTCAACCTGTGGGTCCCCAGATGTTGTTGAACTACAACTCCCATCACCCCTAGCTAGCAAGGCCAGAGCTCAGGGATGACGGGAGTTGTAGTCCAACAATATCTGGGGACCCACAGGTTGAGAACCGCTGGGCTAGAGGATCCTCTTTGTTCCTTCCAACTATACAATTCTGTGACTCATTGATCTCATGTTAGTCCTATTCAGAGGAGGCCCACTGAAATCAATGCAGAGGGGTAACTTGGAGCCATCCATTTCAAGGGGTCTGCTCTTGAGGAGAACATGGTTGGTGACAACCCTGGGGATCTGAAAGGTTGTCAAATGATGGGATCTCTGCCAACATTGGACCAACACTTTAAATGTGTTTGGGATGAGAGGGTTTGTGGTGGTGGGCAAGTAGGCAACTACTCCAAACCCTGCTGTAGATTGGAGGTGTAGGGACTAGAGACAGAGGCAATTATAACTCCCCATCAAAGGTTTTCCAAACTGCACATCCTTCAGTTCTCTTCATTCATTTCATTGGAGAATAATTGTTCTGATACACACAAAAGAGTGGCCCATTGTTCCTCCAACATCACAGATGTGCTCCCGAGATGAAGGCAGCCAGGAATAACACTTTGCAGCAAATGAACAGGTTTTGCACTTCCGAGCATGAGTGCATCTCATGCTTCCCCTTCCCTTGATCTCATTGATTCTGGGGATTTCTCCTTGGTGCCAAAATGACTATATTGAGTGCTAATGACAGCTAGGAGTGCAGCAAGCTCCATAAACTTTTATCTGGGCTGTTTGGAGGGATTAAAGCTTCACACCCCACTGGTGTACAAACAGTCCTCCATTTCCTACAAGTGCTTCTAATGCATTTTTCTCTGGGGTGGGCAGATCTGCACCTGGTTTCCCCCCAAAGCTAGAAAAGAGGCAGGAACTCTTCCAAGCGAGGAAATGCAGAGGTGATGATGCTTCACACCTCTCCCCCTCCATCCTTGCTTGGCATCTCCATGTGGCCTGGACAATGGAGTTCCCTCAGTCCAATCTAAGTTGGTTGGATTCTATGAAGGTCCAACTTAGTACAGCTGCTTCATTAAAACAGCTAGAACAGGAGGCATGAATGGATGGGGACCACACTGCTGTTCTGCTAGTCATGGACATAGCCCGGGGGGCAGGGGGCAACTGCCCCCCAGATCAATAAAATACATAGCAAATTGAGATTCTGCCCCACCCTAAAAAAGGCCTGCTCCTCCTAAGAAAAGGTATGCCCCCCCCCCACAATAATCCTGGCTACGCCAGTGCTACTACTCCAACAGAAAAACTTTGCAGCTGGCCAGTCCAGAGGTTGTATGGTGCCCTCTGAGATCAGAGTCCAGTGTCAAACAGCTCTGCTGCCTTCTGAGTAGAGAAGCTGGAGAATCCCAATGGGAACAGGAGCAGAGATTGCTGATGTTCACTTATTCATCCCATCTTCAGAATGGACATCAATCTGGCGAATACAATCGGTATTTGCTGCTGTTGTTTACAGTCCGCGAATGACACATAATTGGTTATTCCCCAACCTATTTACATCGTGTTTCCTTTGCACTGAAATGAATGGTGTTGGAGGATGCAATTAATTACAGAATTACATAGAATTGCCCCATTGGTTGGTTGGCATCCGTCTGTCTCGGGAGACAATGAAGGAGTGCACCTTTGGGGGTGAGGTCAAGCTGTTGGAAGGTTGCAGAGCCTGCTGTGGCCATAGAGATTGCTGCAGGAGAGACATGTTTTGTTGCAGCTAGGGCAGATGAAGATGCCCAGTTTTGTGACTGAAGATGCACCATGGCTTCCTTCTCTCTGCACTCCTCCCAACAGTCGTTTCTCCTCTGGTCACTGCTATGGATACACAATTTGTCTCTCCAGGGACTGTGGTTGTCTGCAAAGGATCCTCACATGGCAGGGTTGATGTGGCCAGCCTTCGTGTCATATTTGCAGACATCCTTGTGGTGCAGAGTTGGTCTGCCAATGGGCCTGGTGCTTGAAGCCAGTTCCCCATAAAGTATATCCTTGGGGATCTTCCATTCTGTAGACATGACCAAGATGTTGCTGAGACAGGAGTGCGAACGTGATGGGAATGTGGTCTTGGGAGAGCACATCTTTGTTTGGACTTCTGTACTGATATGTGTTACCCAAAATCCTCCTGATGCAGTGCATGTGGAAGGCTTTGAGGTGTCCTTCCTGACAGCTGTAAGCTGCCCACGACTCATTTCCATAAAGCAGTGTGATCAGCACACAGGCCTGGTGAGCCATTACCATAGTTGCCTTGCCAATACACTTGTCCAGCTCAGCATCGATGGAGGGAATGCTGAAGGGAGATGAATAAGGTTGTTTTTATCAGAAGGCGGACTGCAGCAGAACAGAAACAAAGCAGCATGCAATGAACAGAGGATGGAACGGAAACCAGTACCTTCTTCCGAGCTTCATTGATGCCTTCCCCTGCCAACACCTGCAGGATTCAAATCCCCACTCAGCTGTTACCTTGGGACAGTCAGTATCTCTCAGCCTGACCTACCTCACAGGGTTATTGTGAGGGGAGGCAGAGGACCACGTACACCACCTTGAGCTCCTTGAAGGAGATGGGAGGTAAATGTGATAAATAAATAATGGAAAATAAAGGTTTGAGATGTCCAAAGCAGTTGACCTGAGTCTCTGCTACAAATCGCCCAAGGAACTGCAGGGCAGAAAAAGAGAGTTATGTAAGTGGAGAAAAGTTTTGCCAGGAAAACATATTAAGGGCCAACACAGAATGCCCCAAAGCACGCAAAAGGAGGAGGAAGAGCCTGCATTTTGAAGGACTCTGCCTCCCCCCCCCCCATTTGTTTCCCTCGTTTAAGCGTATGGGGTTTGACAAGCCCGAGGCACTGCCATCTGTTACTTAATGCAAAACCGTTTCGTCGTTTATTCATCCTAATTACAGATTTCTATTCCTAAAAGATTCATATATTCAAACATAAATGCAAATCGCACGGTAATTGCTGAAAAATATACACAGCCTCGATCGTCTTCATCACCAAGAGAAGCTTCTCCCAGACCATTCATTGT